GGAGTCATCGATACCATCCGGAAGCACTGTGTGGAGGGCAAGATGGCCTTCGCCCCCATGGTGATGAGGCTGCATTGCGGGGCCACCCCTCAGTGGCCTGAGGGTGAGCCCTACCTTGGGCTAGGGTGGGTAGGCGAGCCCTCGCTGGCCTTGGTTCTTTATCCCAGAGCTAGAAACATCCATATCTACCATGGCGGTCTCCCTCCTGCTCCTCCTGCCCACTGGACAGCCCACCAGAGAGGTGCCTGAGGGCTGTGCTCATCCGCAGCAGCAGCAGTGATGAACATTTCCTCCCCATCTTCCCTTCTTTCAGTCATCAGATACCTACTCTGTGCCAGATTCTGTGCCCTCTGCAGATAGAGACATGGGAAGACAGGCTGCCTGCTTCTGGGAGGAAAACAGACAAGGAAAGCATGTTCGGCTGTGTCTTCAGTGGCTGCCGTTGCGAGATCCTGTTTTAGGGCCTGTAGTCAACCCCCTGTTTTAGGGCTGTAGGACCGCAGCTTCTGTCGGACCCTGAATCTGAGGGCGGGCAGGGACTTGTTCGCATGAGACAGTTTTCAGCGTCAGGCACCTACGTCCCCTGTCTTTCAGAGAAGGCTCTGGGGATGCAGCCCAGCAGCCTTCCTTGCTTCCTCCTGGCCCCTGGCTCATCTCACGGGGGGCTTCTTGTCTGGCCACAGGTTACTGGGAGGTGAATGGGTTTGGACTGCTCGGCATCTACAAGTCAGACCTGGATAGAATTGGCGGCATGAACACCAAGGAATTCCGAGACCGCTGGGGCGGGGAAGACTGGGAGCTGCTTGACCGGTGACTGGGGGAGGAGGGTGTCTGAAAGGGACTGCAGGGAGAGAACAGGGCTAGATCAGCTGAGGCTGCGGCCATGGGGCAGCAGATTCCTGATCTCTGGGCTCAGAGGAAGCCCTGCCCCTCGCCAGGGGTCCTATTACTCACATAGCCAAGACTCAGTTTCTGTGTCTATTAGAAGGGGGATGATACTGCCTCCACCTGTGTCACAAGGTTGGAGTGGAGATTAGAGTGCATGGTGAGCTGTCAGGGTAAAGTAGAAGCTCACGAGCTGTGTGCATGTAAATGCTGATGCTCTCAGCCCGGGTGTTCTCCGGATCGGAGCCTTCCTCCTCTGCACCACTGCCTGGCGGGGAAGCTGACAGGAGAGACAGATGAAGGGTCAGGAAAGACTTGGGGCCAGCATAAGAGACATTAAGGCCATTAAAGGGCAGTAAGATAATCCAGGAGGTCCTGGGGCCCTAGAAGCCTGGGAGAAGGGAGTTTCAGGGAGCAAGAAATAGTCCCAGGGAAGAAGAAAGGAGAACACGGACAGGCCACAGACTTGGGAAGCAGCGGCAGGGTTGAGACAGGCACGGTGGGCCAGGACCCCACTGTAGGGTGGTGAGGGAGCGGAAGCTGTGTTAGTGGGAGAGTCCTCTTTCAAGAAATTTGCTTTTTAAAAAAAATTTGCTGCCACGAGGGGTGCCTGGCTGGCTCAGTAGAGAGAGCACGCAGCTCTTGATCTCGGGGTCGTGAGTTCAAGCCCCACGTTGGGGGTAGAGGTTTTTTAATAAATAAAAGTTACAGAAGAAGGAAAGAAATTTGTTGCCAAGAGAAGGGGAGGGAAAGAGGATGATACCTTGAGATTTGGATTGAAGGGAAGAGAGGGAGGAGAGAAAGGGAGGGAGACATCAAAGGAAGAAAGGACCAGGGTTGGCTGTGTATCACTCTCTCTCTAAAGGAGGAAAAGACTGGCAGACTGAGACTCTGAAAGATGACATGCTTTACAAGGTATGGGGCTGGGATTCAGACCCAGGCTGGCTGGCTCCCAACTGCAGCCTCCTCCCATGCCCTGTGGGGGGGAAACAGAGGAAGACAGGGACCGGGGGTGACGCACGGGAGGTGGGGTCCTCAGGGGCCTGGGCCTCTCCCCACTTGCCTCTTTTGCTTCTGTTGCTCACCCCGTCCCTCCCCCATTCAGGATCCTCCAAGCGGGCCTGGAAGTGGAACGTCTCTCCCTCAGGAATTTCTTCCATCACTTCCATTCCAAGCGGGGCATGTGGAACCGCCGTCAGATGAAGATGCCGTGATCCCGAGGGGCGGCCTGCTGGACTGACTGCTTCCTGCTCCTTGACTTGTGCCGGCTCCCCAGTGCCCCTGCTTGCCGCTGGGGGGGGGGGGAAGGGGGGCAGAAGCCATGGCTGAGCCCCGAGAGGCCTCAGAGCTGACACCGTCACCACCCAGAGCTGTTGCCTCACGCAGAGAGCTGCGAAGGCCCCTCTCTCTACCCTCGGGGCCTCTGAAGGGAGGACCTTGGGAGAGGGACCGGGAGGGGCCGTTCACTCGGTTGACAGAGCTGGACTGGCTCCTGGGCAAGGCAGCACAGTGCGGTCAAGGAGGGAAAGATCTGTCTGAGCGCTGCTCGCCTATCCGTGACTGCACTCCAGCACCCCCACCAGGCTCCTCCTGGGGAGCAGTGACCATGACCTGGAAACTCTCCTCTTGGACATATTCTATTGGGGTTTTTATCTTTTCTAACAGAAAACCAAAACCGTACCTGTCCAGACCCTGCCTTGACTGAGAGGGGGATGGAGTCATGCATTTAGGGCATGTCCCAACTCGCATACCTCAGACCCACTTCCTTGTAGCGCGACATGCCCCTCAAGCCCTTGGTCTGGCAGCCGATCTATAACCAGAGGAGCTGGCACAGCGTGGGCCCGTTCTCAGCTCTGCCCCGGCTGTGCCATCCAGACACACGCACATCTCTCTCGGGAGCCACGGAACAGCTGGCCGCCAATTAGGGCGTTAACCTTCTCCTCTGGGTGGTGCTAACTCCAGCCCAGCACAGACTGGCATCATCATGGTGCCTCGGCGGGGCCGGGAGAGAGAGGGCTGGTGGACCGTGGGCTCGTCATTCCTGGGTGTCTGGCGTAGAGGCGGTGCCAGACCGGCACGGTGGAGGAGGAGGGAGGAGAAGCCCCTGGCCTGGCCTACCTGCAGGCTGAAGCTTTGGGGAGAACATGGAGCAGAGAGGAAAGAGGATGGAGATGTAACAAAGCTCTGGGCTTAGAAGGGAAGAGGGAGTGGGCATCCAGCAGGAAAGGGAGAAAGGGAAGTGGAAAATCAGAGTTCCCCACAGTCCTGCTCCCGAACAGACTTGGCCTCCTTTGGGGAGATCCCCAGCCCCGGCCTGCCGGGAAGAAGAGGAAGGGGTGTGGACAAGGTGGAGGAACAGGGTCCAGGGTGGGGAGCGGCAGGGCCATGGGCTTGGGGAGGTAAGGGCATCGCCCTGAGATCTCTTCCTCAATTGGAGAGGAGTGGGGCCAGGAGGAACTGAAAAGTGGAGCCATTTCAGGAAGCTAGCCCTTGGCCTTTGTAGTCTCTGGCTGCCCTTTCTCACACCCGCCGGTCACACACTTAGTCTTGCACTTAAAGTCCTCAGGTGCCTTCGAGGCTGGGGATTTTTCTGCTGCTGCTGCTGCCTCTGCCGCTGCCGCTGGTTTGACCAGTGGTGCATTGGACGCTGGCTCTGGCACTCCAGCGTCCGTGGAAGGAGGGGAGCCCGGGGCTCGCTGCTGTGAGGAATCTCTCGTGGGGAGGCCAGGCTGCTGAGCCCAGGCTCCATGCTGTGGTAGAGTCCTAGTCACAGCTTTCAGGGCTCCAGCGTCTACCTGGTGGGCCCTGCATTCACCAAGAGCACACGCTTGGCATTTAGGAGAATCAAGCCTTTGAGAACCTTCTGGAGGTTGAAGAGAGTTTCATCTCCCTCTAAAAAATCGGGAAGAACAAAACTTTCCAATTAATGGGCTGTGGCTTCTGGATGCCATTCCTGCCCCTTGAGCCCTGGCTTTTCACACGGCCCTCGCTCAGGCCTACTGCCTTTGGGAAAGGGCTATATGGAATAGGTAGAGCTCCAGTTAGCTGGCTGGGCGGGCAGCTTGCCTTCTGGGGCCACCCTTGGGCGTGGCACTGGTAGGCCTGACCCAACCGAGACAGCTCAGCTGCCTCCATGCTTTTAAAGGCAGGAGCCAGCCCGCCTGCCCTGCCCTCCCCTGCCCTGCTCATGACCCCCTCTGACTCTGGCCAGTGCCTTTCCTTCAATGTTTGTTACCTCCACACCATCTGCCTTAAGGGGGAGGGCCCCTACTCTGTAGGGAAATGGGTTGGGGGGAGGGAGGGAAGTGATTAAATACAGCATCTTCTTAGAAAACGAAGTGGCTCATGTGTTCTTCTCATCGCCCATCAAGATGGGAGAGGGCTGGGCTGAGGGGCTAGGGTGCACATCTCGTCCTTCAGTTGTCAGGACGCTCCCACACCACCCTCCACTGTTCACCATCAGTTTGGTCTTGCCCTGTGGGGAGCTGCCTGAGTTCACCGTCTGAGAGCGGACTGGGCATTTTCTGCTCAGCAGGTTAGTGGGAGATTGGTGGTTTCAGTAGAGAAGGGCTACCCTGGGGGACGTCCCCCTGGATGGACGCCCTGGGGGACGAAGGCTAGATGCAGGCCAGGGTGGCTCGGTGAGCGGTGGTAAAGTAGCAGACATTCTAAAAATAATTCCTGTGTGAGTTAGGGATGCCCGGTTGGGTCTTTACAGGTACAAATTTACCTTCCTCGTTCTATTTGGCTAAGGCAAAGATCAAAATGAGTTTGTATGCCTTAAGCACATGCCTAAGGGAAGGTGCTAATTTGAAAGCTATAACAGGTTTTCAAAAAGGATTGTGCATAAACATGGATCAATCCAGAACTAAGTAATCTGCCATTGATGTAGCAGATGGTAATTAGCCCAAGCTATGTGGGGCCAGAAAAGCTGACTCAGAGCAGGACCCAGAGGAGAGGGAGTCAAGCCCTTTCCAGAACACAGCAGGAGAGGGCATCCAGAGACCAACCCAGAAGCATAAAGATTGACTCAGAGTGCATTTGCAGAAAACTTCATAGATAGAGATCATTCCGTTTTACAAAAGGGGAGAACTGGGCCTGGAGCAGAGGGAATGGATAGGATGGAGGAAAGGGATGAGGTGGAGTAAGAAGTCCTAAAGCCGGGCGGGCTTGGCCTTAGGTAGACACGCCTCAGGTGCAGGAGATACTACCAGAAAGAAAGGTCGGCAGTACCCCATTCTGAGCTCAGGACTCCAGCCCAAGATGGGATTCACTCAGACCAGTGAAATAGCACATCTTCATACAGATGCTCTGGGTGGGGAGCAAGGGCATCTCCATTGCCCTTCTCAAGCTCTCCCAGGGGCTGTGGAAAGGGCCCCTCAGCCTAGCAGAGCGGGTAGGAGAGAGGCGGAAGCTGTTCCAGACCTAGGACCTGTAGGGGGAAGCAGAGATGAGACGGTGAAGAGGGCAGGCCAGACCAGCGGTCCTTGGACTTTACTGTGCACACAATTCCCCTAGCAAACTTTTCCAAACACAGGCGCCCATTCAGGAGATCTGAAGTGGGGCTGGAGATCCCATGTGTCCTGCAACCTTCCAGCTGGTGTTGCTGCTGGTCAATGGACCCCAGTTTGAGCAACAGGGGCTGCTAGGCAGTGCCAGAGAGGGATCCTATACGGCATCTTTCCTCTTACCAGAGGGGCAGAGCCAAGCACTAACCACACTGCCTCCCACCCATCCCAGGCTCTAGAAAAACCCCAGCTTGACCACTGAGGAAGAGTCCCCTGTTAGCAGGAGGGGCCTTTCTGGGCCCCAATCCCAGTGCTTCTCTCAGACCCCTTCCTTGCCTCAGATCTATCTTTTCCCTGTTGCTTGCAAGGATCTCGCTCTTACCCCAAACCCCCAGAGCCAGGAGAAGGGTCACTTGGAGCCCTTGGACCCAGGGGGGCCTCCCCTCCTCCCTCACCTGGGTCCCAAGGCTATGTTCAGAGAGGATTCCTTGAGGTCCTGGCAGTCAGGGAGCCTGTCTTGTGTACCCCGAAGGCTGTAATGAAGACATTGATGACGATCGTGATGGCGACCAGGCTGGTGGCCGTGTTGTTGAGCTGGTTAAGCTGGCCCTGCTTTCCTACCTCATTGAGGTTCAGCCGTGCTGCGGACCAAGTGGGGAGCTAAGGGTCAGTGTGGGTTCACAGCCTGAAACCTCCCCCGCAGCATCCACTAGAGGCCAGAGAAAGTCTGGCACTGTGGAGATCCATGTGGCAGAAAGCAAGGGAGGTGGTAGGCATCAGGCTGTGCCTCCTTCCCCCTCACTGGGATTTGGAAACTTCCACCGGGTCTTACGAGTGGGACGCACGCTCACACTAAGGGCCATAAGGACCTCTGCCACAAGTAAGTGAAGAGAGTCATTTGGCAGGTATCGTGGAGGGACCACTATGTGGGAGACCAGGAGGCAGGACAAGGACCTGCTTTCACTGTGTAGGAGTTGTTAGCTGGGCGTTTGTAGCCGTGGAGGTCTACCACCAGCTTAGCCAATGGTTGAGACGTTGGCATGCCAGAGTAGGGGGTGGCTCAGGGAGGCAGTCGGGGATTTTCTTCCCACCAGGGGGCCCCAAGGCCCCCTCCAGGCCTGGGATCCTCACCAATGACCACGAGGAGGATTCCAATGACCACCTGCAGGAGCAGAGAGACGCTGATGAGGGTGACAAGGGCAGTGTAGTAGTGGGAGGCCGGTCCCTGCTCCAGCACCGCTTTCAGCCGCGTGGCGTTGGACATGAAGAGGGCCACGTCCAGCATGCTCTCTGCCACGCTCTTCTTGGTGGCATAGTGGTTCAGGTTGATGGGCTGGCTCCTCCGGGGGTTGAGGTTCCCAGGCTGTAACAGAGAAAGCGCAGGCTGACCTGGGACTCTCCCGCAGGGAAGCCGCTGAGAGACTGGAAGGAGGAGAGAGGTTCTCAAGCTTTCTCTTAACTGGGTGGGAAACTGAGGACAAGTAACCCCCTGCTCAGTTCTACGGCCTGAAAGAGTGAGGAGTTGGACTAGAAAGCCCTTAAGGACCTTTGAACGTTGAAATGATGGTACGTTGTCATTTATGGTTCCCAAGGGTCTCCCCACTTCTATCTGAGGAAGGGCGAGGGGCGGTGGGGAGTTCTCAGCTGCTTCTGAGACGTTGCACCCTCATTTCATTGTCTATTCTGTCCGAGCCGGGCACTCGGGCCCCTCTCTTTCCCTCTGAGAGGAAGGCATCTCGAAAACGATAGGAGGAGCTCTGAGGCTCGCATGGAATGGGAAAGGCACCTCTGCTCACAAAATGCTGTGGCCCCAAGGGAGGGTGCATGGTTTAGCACATGGGTCATGAGCTGTACTTGGGTCCCACTCAACTCTGTGGCCAAGGGCACTGAGGCCACAGCTGTGCTCGTCAGAATGCATGTCTGGCTGCGTGTATGGACATGCAGTACTAGTGAAAGGAGCCTCATTTAATTTTTTAAAAAAATTTTTGCTAGGATTTATTGACACATAATTTACCCTTGATTTGACTTTGAAAAATAAAACAAAGCTCATGTTCCCAAGATGTCACCCACTCTGGAAGATGGAGTAACAAGACAGAACATACGGACGGGGCCTCAGGGTTGGGCCCAGAAATTCAGACGGGTTGCTGCAGGCAATCTGTGGTCACTCGAGAGAACTTGGAATTGTTTTAGGAAGGTTAATTTAGGAGCGGTACCCGCGGTGAATTGGCCTGGGAGGGCCCGGAAGCAGGGAGACCCATTGAAAGATTATGGTCTGATTTGGGGTCCCAGTGACAAGGAACTGAGCCAGAGCAAATGAGAGAGGAGAGGAAAGGAGGGGTTAGGAAGATGTCACAGACTGGAGGTAGGGGAACTGACCCCGCAGATGACCACAGAGGTGATCTATTGAGTGTGTGGGTGTGTGTGGAGGGGTGGATGGATGGGTAGTTGGGTGGATGGGGCAGGTCTCAGAGGGTTCTGGAAGCTCCTTCTGGATGCTGGACTTGTCTGGAGCCAGCTGGCCTGGTTGGTTAGGACCAGGGATGCCAAGACCAGGCCTTAAAGCTACTGCCTGTGGCTCTGGTCCATTTGGTACAGGTCTGTTCAGGGTACAAAAGACACTAATTAAGTGACAGAGTCTGTGGAGCGGTCCCCAGACCTCTCCACTGTTCAAAGTGCTTCTGACTGGGGAACGACTGCGAGTGGGCCTTCCCAGCCCATGGATTTTCCTGTGGGCCATGTCTACTCCTCCTCTCCTTATCCTACACTCCAGGGTGCCCGGTAGCCACAAGCTTTGCACTTTCTGCTCCCTCTGCAAACGGCTCACAGTTCGAGATCTGAGAAACTTCGAAATTACTGTGAAAGCCTCAAAGAAGACCGCCTTCTTATAAAATTGCCTATGAACACAGTGGACAAAAGCTTAAACCCAACACGCTCTAGTGTTGTGTTCTGAGCTTTGCCCAAAAAGAGAGTGAGGGGTTGGGGGATAGAAAGAGTGGTTTACTGGGGCACCTGGGTGGCTCAGTGGGTTAAGCCTCTGCTTTCGGCTCAGGTCATGATCTCAGGGTCCTGGGATCGAGCCCCACATCGGGCTCTCTGCTTGGCAAGGAGCCTGCTTCCTCCTCTCTCTCTCTGCCTGCCTCTCTGCCTACTTATGATCTCTCTCTGTCAAATAAATAAATAAAATCCTTAAAAAAAAAAAAAGAAAGAGTGGTTTACTTGGGGACACAAAGATCTCCCCAAGCTTTAACAAAAAATACTGCTATCTCTAAGTTTTCACAGAGCTGCGAGGCTTTTGTGGTTAAATGGCTCTAAGAAAGCCATTTCACAGAGGATGTATGAGTCACAGTGAGCAGAGGAGGGTGCAGGCCTATCTTTCCCCCTCTAACCTAGGGCCTGCTTTTATTTTGATGTGTGCTAATTCCGGGCTACTTTCTACCTAAGGATGCTTTTCCAGTGTCTGGTCGGGTGGCGGTGGGCACGTCTGCAGGGTGCCCCCTGGAAGCCCCAGACGGCTCCCGATCCCCAGAGTGTCCACATGGTGGCGTACGAGGTCCAAAGAAGTTCCTGGAGGAACCCCGGCCGCGCCGGCGCCGGGACTGTGTTTCTCCGCTGAGGAATCCGCAGGCAGCGCGCGACCCGCCCGGAGCCCTCGGAGGCCCAGAACGGGGAGCCGGGTTCACAAGTCTGGATGGGCGAACCCCAAAGCCACCAAACACGTGTGTCAAATGAGAGCTCAAGGAAAGACCAATACTGACAGGGGTGGGGTGGGGGGGAGCACAGAGTGTCCCTCCCCCCACTCCCCACCCCCGCCCCCCAGAGGGACCTCTAGCCCAAGTTGCAGCCTGAGGGATGGTGTGAGAGGGGAGTTGCTTTGAGACTCTGGAAAAGTTGCTTTGAAAAGGGTCCCCTCAAGGTAACATCTTTAAAAAGCAGGACAAGGTTTTTCTTAAAACTTCTTGGCTGGTTCGGGTGCAGAGGCAGAGGAATGGATGAAATGACCTGACGGCCCTCCCTTACAGTTTGAGGATTCAACTGGATGAACCCCCGAATCCTGCGGGACGCCACCCTTTTTTCCCACAGCCCGGAGTGCAGGAGCAACCCCGCGAAGGGTCAGGGTTAAAGAGGAGGGTGGGGGTGGTGCAGGGCGGCCTGGCCGCTGCCGGAGGAGCTGGCCCTTTAAGGCCGGGCCCAGGCTGGCTGGGAACAAAGGCCCGGGAATGTGGGCTGGGGCGGCCTGCAGAGCCACCCAGCGTGAGTCATTTATATTTCTTGGGACTTGGGAATCCCTGGCTCTTGCCTCCTCCGTCCTCTGGCCCTAGCCCTAGCCCCCTTCCCGAGCGGCCCCTGGCCCCCTGCTGCAACCTGCAAGGCCGGGCTGCCCCGAGCCCCGCATGCGCTCCACCGAGCTCCTGGCCCCTTTCCTCTGGCTGCTCAGAGCCGGGCGAGGGCCTGGGGGTTAGGGCTCCCGGCCTTGGGGCCCAGTTCTGCCTCGAGGCTTGGCACTTTGGGCCTCAGTTTCCGCATCTGTGACAGAAGAGGAAAATCCCATCTTTGCAGCTGGGGAGGCTATAGGGAGACAGAACTCATTCCATCTTTGTTCCTTCCCAAAGAAAAGAGAACTCCAAGCTCTTCTCATGTTTTCCTTCAGTCTGAAAATTCTCAGTGACTTTCAGTGACCCTCTCAGTATCTTCTGTCTTATTCCAGCCCACCCCACTCAACCCGAGGACAGGAGCAGACTGAACCAGAGATTACAAAGTCCCTGCTTAAGATGCAGATACCTGTGGGAAAGGCAACCCATCAAAATCAGGCCGGCCAAGGACACCTGACCGCCAGGAGGATGGGGGTTGGTAGGAAGTTGGAACAGAGGTGGGTGTGGGGACAGATGGGGTTAGATCCAGAGTCCCAAGCTGGAGCACCACGGGGGGTCTGGGCACCAAGAGGACATGGATCTGCTGACCCAGGTGGGATGGAGCAGGGGGGCTTGGGGACAGCCCAGATCCACTCCATAATTTTCCCAGTTTGCCCACTTCCTGGGCCTGCCCCAGCACAATCACTTCCTCTCTCTTCCTTGTCCTCCTCTCTTGTTTCCACTCGGACTATCCTGCTTGTCTTGCCAGGTCCAGCTCCTGAGGCTGGTGTGGATTCCAGCCCTGGAAGTCACCGACCGCTCCATTGTTCTGCCCGACAATTATGGGTCCCTTCATCCTTGTTGACCTATCTTTTTGTTTCTTTACAGAACTTGAGTTGGATAGGAAAGGAAGGCCTGTTTTAACAGAAAAGTAAACAAACTTTTACATTGTTCATTGACATTATGGTCAGTGGGGACCACAGGCTCCAAGAGATCATTCTGTCCTTTCACAGAAACAAGATTTCAAAGGGGTAAGTAACTGTCCCACCACAAAGCCATGGAATGTTTGGGACCTGGAGCCTGAGGCAGGCAGGGAGTGCTCTGCAGGGAAGGAGCGGGCTGGGAGGTAGGGCCTTGTGGCAGCCAGGAGAGTATCACAGAGGGCACCCTGGCCTAGGGTTCAAATCCTGGTGCTACTACAAGCTGGAGGTATGAGCAAGCCAGTCGCCACCCTGGGGTGGCTTTTTTCCATCTGTGAGATGAGGAGGGTTAGAATACGCAATTTCTTGGGTCCCTCTGAACCCAGAGTGATGTAGGAGTGGGGAAGCCCCCAGTCTGAGAGTCTCAGGGGTTGAGGACGTTCCCCCCGAGAGAGAGGCAGAGGTCAGGCAGCTGTGGAGCAAGGCCCAGAGGCAGCCAATGAGTCACTTTGCCCCAGGCAGCTCAAGGGCACTGGTGACCAGCCAGTGAGTCATTAGTGTCGGCCCTGAGAAAAGCCGTATGCGTGTCTCATCTCCTTGTGTATCCGCTCGTACTCAACGCTACAGACAAAAGAGGCCCAGAGGAGCCCTTGCCCGTTGGCCCTTCTGTTGGTCTCAAAAGGACTGACTGTCCAGAAAGGCCAGGCCTCTCCTGAAAAGCAGACGGGAATGAGCCAGAGGGCTGGTTTGGGAAAGAGCAGATGCCGGCCCAGGAAGAATGATCTGTGTAAACATTTGGCTTGGGGTGGCCGACTACGCCAGTTTGCTTCAAATTAGGTGCCCAAGATCCCTGATCCTCTGTCAGAATTAAGTTTGAGAGGGTGCCTCGGGTCCGTCTTAACTGTGCACAAACTCATTTCCCCGGGGGACCCTAGTTATTCCCACTGACAGAGGGCTTACCTCGCGCCTGGCAGAAGGTTGAATGCGGGACATGAGTCATCTTACTGAGTCCTCACGAGAACCCCGGGAAGCTGGTAAGGGCATGATTGGTGTAGTTGAAAACTGGAGGCTCAGAGAGCCAAAGTAACTTGCAC